GCTTTGTATAAATGCCCTTAATTATGTTGAGGAATTTCCCTTCTACTCCTATTTTGCTGAGAGTTTTTATCATGAATGGGTGTTGGAATTTGTCAAATGCCTTTTCTGCATCAATTGATAAGATCATGCGGTTCTTGTCTTTTGTTTTGTTAATGTGATGGGTTACATTGATTGTTTTTCTAATGTTGAACCATCCCTGCATACTTGGTATAAATCCCACTTGATCACGGTGAATTATTTTTTTGATATGTTGTTGAATTCTACTGTTTTGCTTTTAATCTTACAGACTCATTCTTTTTTTTTACCCCTTCATTTTTTAAATTTTTTTTATTGCACTTCAGATGAAAGTTCTCAGAACAAATAGTTTCTCATTAAACAGTTAATATACATATTGTTTTATGACAATGGTTAACAACCCCACAACATGTCAACACTGTCCCTTCTCAACCTTGGGTTCCCTATTACCGGGTTTCCTTTCCCCTCCTGCCTTCTAGTTCTTGTCCCTGGGCTGTTGTGCCCCATTAATTTCATTTTGTTTTATGGGGCTGTCTAATCTTTGGCTGAATGTTGAACCTCGGGAGCGACTTCATTACTGAGCTAAAAGGGCGTCCGGGGGCCATACTCTCAGGGTTTCTCCAGTCTCCTACAGACTCATTCTTAAAGTTACTTAGGCTAGCATCCTTTCCCCTCTTCCCATTCAGTGAGGTTGTTTCACACATTTGTATTACACTGAGATTTTCTTGTCACAGTCTTCATTCCTTCCTGGGATTCCCCAACATCCTTAATGATTTATTTATTTTTAAAAATCACATGCATTAAGGCTCACTCTTTGTGCTATAAAGTTCTGTGGGTTTTGACAAATGCATAATGTCTTATATTCACCATTACAGTGGACAGAATAATTTTATGGTCTTAAAAATCCCCCATGCTTCATCCCGATCCCTGAACCCCAAAACTCTGGCAACCACTGATCATTTTACTGTCTCTATAGTTTTGCCTTTTCCAGAACATCATATATGGGAATTATATAATGTATAGCCTGCCTTTCCATAATGGCTTCTTTCACTTAGCAATATTCATTTAAGGTTCTTCCATGTCTTTTGTAGCTTGATAGCTCATTTCTTTTTTATTGCTGAATAATATTCCACTTTATGGATGTACCACAGTTTGTTTATCCATTCATCTTTCCATGTGAGTTTTAGAATCAGTCTGTCAATATCCACAAAATAGCTTGCTAGGATTTTGACTGGGATTTCATTGAATCTATAAATCAAGTTGAGAAGAACTGACATCTTAACAATACTGAGTCTTTCAATCCATGAACATGGAAAATCTCTCCATTTATGAAGATCTTTGATTTCCTGGAGTTTTATATATTTCTTCCTATAGATCCTATACACATTTTGTTAGATTTATACTTGTTTCAATTTTTTTGTGCTATTATAAATGGTATTATGTTTTTAATTTCAAAACCCTATTGTTTTTTGCTGATATACAGGAAAGCAATCGATTTTTGTATATTAACCTAGTATCCTCAGACTTTGCTATAATCATTTATTAGTTCCAGGAGCGTTTCTGTCCATTTTTTTGGATTTTCTACACAATCATGTCATCTGCAAGCAAAGACAGTTTTATTTCTTCCTTCCCAATCTGTATAGCTTTTATATTCTTATTGCACTAGCTAGGACTTCCAGAACAGTGTCTAATAGGACTAGTGGCCCAGATTATTTTTAAGAAAGTCCTAGATGTCATATCATTTCATCTGTAAATATGTCAGTATGTAGCTCCTAAATATAAGGACTCTTTTAAGAAACATAACCACGATACCATGGTCATATCTTAAAAAATAAACAGTATTCTTTAATATCATCAAATATAAAGAGGGGGTGTTTTTAAATCTTTACTCTCATTACTTAACATTCCCAGGCTTTTCACACTATATCATGAACAAGGCTACCTCGGCGCATACTTACCACAATTTCTCCTTGCTCCACAGTGTGGATCTTCATGTAGGTGCCCACTGCAGTCTCTTTGGCAAGCTGACCAGACTTGATATCAATCGCAGAACATTTGGTCGAATGAGCACGCTTGGATCTGAAATTTGACAGCTTGTTAAAGAAAACACATCTGTAACACAGTCAACTCATGAGGCCCTGGATTATCAGCTCCTACTCTTGTATCCTGTGACCTTGCTATAATTGCTTATTAGGTCCAGGTAATGCATACAGAAATTTTCCCTCCTTGGGGAATTTGCACCTCCCCACAAGGTAAGGAAGCTCAAAATCAAGCCCTGAAAGAGACTGACTGTATTAGGAACTGGAGAAGTTTAATAGGGAGGAGATTTGATAGAAAGGAGATATGGCCCCTTTAAACACTGAAGGGCTGTTACACGGAGGAAATGGCTGACAGATCCCCTGCAGCTGAGCCAGACCTGATGGGTGAGAAGTCCAGCCAGGCAGAATTAAGCTCAACATGCGGAAAGGATTTTTAACAGAGCTGTCTGAAAATGGAACAGGCTGTTTTGCAAAAGAATGAGTTCTGTGCCTCTGAGGACACAGCAGAAGTTTGGGCTCTTCTTGACAGGAAGTCAGAGAGGAAATGGAACTCGTTCATTTATTCATTCATTTTTAAAAACACAGGTTTCCTTCCCGTACTTTGTTCATGTTGGAGTTAATTTTACACAGGTAATCCTGTTGTGCATTCTTTGGTCTCTGTCCAGGTAGAAGGAAGAGGCAGGCTATGCTATTTGGATTAGAGGTGGGGACAGGATTATTTACCAGTTGAGAATATAACTGGACTCACCCAACACAAATATGAAGTTCGCCTTAATTCCTGCCCTTCCAGGACATGTGCAAAAGTGCCTCTATTTTTCACTTCTGGGTCTAACCTGTCTCTTCTCCCTTACTGAGTCACAGCAGAGACACTAAGCATCAGGCCTGTTCTATCTCCAGCTCAGAACAACTAGGATTGGGATTTCAAGCCCTGGATTCCTTGGATATAATATCCATCAGAGGAAAAAACAACTAAGTCATGGGATGCTCATTATGCAGGCAAGCAGCCTGAAAGTGTCAATGGGCAAAGGCGCATTTGGGTAATACAGGGATTGGGACATTGAAGCCATTATTAGTATCATTATGATATTTTCATTTCACATTTAATGGGGGAGGTGTTATGCTGCCCTGGCCTCAACATTGAGATGTCCCTAGACTAGTACCCACTGAGTGTCCTTCCCTGCTCCTCAACCTCTCCAGGAAAGGCAAAAGTGCAGCCTTTCATGTGCATCTGCCTCATATCAGTCATGACGATCATACAAGATAGCACACGGCTTAGCACTAAGAGGCTGCTCAGGTTTGAATCCTGGCTCTATCGCTTTCTACTTGTGTGACCTTGAGCAAGTATTTAATCTCTCACTGTACCTTGGTTTTCTCACTTGAAAAATGGGAGTGATAATAATAGTACTTACGTCATAGGGTTATTGTGAGGATTAAATTAGATAATTCTGTACCAGGCACAAAGGAAGTATTCCACAAGAGTTAGCAATAATTATCATTATCCCACTTAACTGCTAGCTTGCAACAACCCCAAGACTTAAGAGACTATTATTTACGAATAAGGAAACTAAGGCTTAGAGAGGTCAAGTCCCTTGCCCAAGGACATAGAGCTAAAATAAGTAGCCAAGCCAGGGTTTGAACCTAGGTTGGACTGACCCCAAAGCCTAGGCTCTTATTCTCTATGCTATAACTGCCCCCTGTAGATGGGTAGAATTTTCTAAAGAAGCTTAGAGTCAGAAGGAGCCAGTGACATACAGACAGATAGAATTTCAGAGCTAGAAAACCCATCCAGTCCCTCCTTCCTCAAATGGGTTACTGAAGCCCTGAGACAGGAAATATCTGACCACCTAAAGCAGTTCTGTGAGTTGATAACAGAGTATGCAGGTCCCAGACTTCGAACCTAGAGCCTCTCTAGGCTGACTTATGCCCACACCCTACCTTTTGGGGCTGACCTGTGTCTGCTCCCTTTGTCCCCTCCCTGGTATCCCTGACATTCTGCCCTGTAGGTCACGCCCCCCTTCCTAGTCAGAATCTGGACCCTTCTATCTGCCAAGAGCTAAGCTTACTTGATCTTTGAGCCAAAGGTCTTTGGAAGATCAGTCATTGAAGTTTGACTTATACTAAAGTTGGTCCCCTTTTGCTCCCAGGCTTTCTGGAGATGCAGAAGTTTCAAAGAGCTGAAGTCCTGTACAGGATATGACTTGATCCGGAATTCCTTAAATCTCTCCACGGGAGAGGGTTCTGATAGAGAAAGCACAGGAAAACACATTTATGAGTTTTTACATATATGAGGTGGAGGTGGTGGTGTTGATGGTAGTGGTGGTGGTGGAGATATATCATAGTTACCTGGCCTGGCAAGTCTGGTGAAGGTGCATAAGGGAATAAACAAGAAAAGAAACACACATTGGCCTCCATGTGTTGTCTCTTTGTGCCAGGCCCTGTGCTAGAGCCTTTACATCCATTACATCCAGACAAATATAGGTAGGCTCATTTAAGAGATTAGATGAGCAAAAGAGAGTTTAAGCCACCTAGGAAAGGTCTGAAGTTTGGATTTGAACTCATGTCTATTTGCTTCAAAGCTCATATCTTTCCATTAACAGATCATATTAATCTGAGCTTTCAAACTGGGATGGGGGAACAGCAATAAAAGACAGTCAATGGATGAGGGGCCCTAGAACCTTGGAAAAGTCACATAGTCTCCTGGAGCCCTCATATGACTGTTGTAAGAATTACAGACAAAGTATGCGATATGCCTAGCACAGTGCCAGGCATGTAATAGGCCCTATATAAGAGTTATTAAAAAGATCTCCAAGTGAATACTTCTCAGAAATAAAAAGAAACAAACTACTCAAAAACACTATGCTGAGTAAAAGGAGCCAGAAATAAAAGAATATATACTGTATATCTAGAATAGGGAAATGCATAGAGACAAACATTTATTAGTGGTTACCGGGGGCTGTGGGCAGGGGGAGAGAATGGGAGTTATTGCTGAAGGGGTACTGAGCTTCTGTTGGGGTGATGTAAAACTTTTAGAAATGGATAGTGATGACGGTAGCACAACACGGTGAATGTAATTAATGTCACTGAATTCTACACTTAAAAATGGTTAAAATGCCAGACTTTTTGTTATATGTATTTTACCACAATTTTAAAAAGAGTATATATTTTATGATTCCGTTTATATGAAACCCTAGGAAAAATGAATCTAACCTATAATGTTAGAAAGCAGATCAGTGTTGACTGGGTTCAGGGTTAAGAGGTGAGGGTTGACTGGGAAGGGGCACAAGAGACCTTTTAAGTGGATGGAAATGTTCTCTAACTTGATTGTGGTGGTGGCTGCATAGGGTATAAATTTGCCAAAACTCACCAAACTATACATTTAAAATGTATGCATTAAATTGTGTGAAATTATGCCTCAATAACATTGATTTAGAAAATAGCTCTCCATTCATTTAGTGATTAGCTTTTGAGTACCCATTATATTCCAGGCATGGTACTAGAACCTGGGAATACAAAGTCCTTACACAGAACTTATATTCTAGCAAGGGAGACAGATATTCAATAACCATTTCAGATTCAATTATATGATTTCATTGGGGTTAAACACAACAGAGGATTCCCTGGGTGCTGCAAATGGTTAACATGGTTAACACACTCACTACTAACCAAAAGGCTGGCGGCTTGAGTCCACCCAGAGTCTCCTCAAAAGAAAGGCCTGGTGATCTACGAAAACCCTGTGGAGCACAATTCTACTCTGATACACATGTGGTCACCGTGAGTCAGAACTGACTCGATGGCAACTGAAAAAACACCACAGAAGAGAAGTACAGGGTACTTGGATAAGATATAACGGGAGGTGGAAGATGCTGATCTAGTACAAGAACTCAGGGAGACTTCTACTTTTAATTTAAGATCTGAAAGAAGAGGAGAGCTCAGTGGGGGAGAGGTGAGGAATAAAGAGAGAAATGTGTGAAAACCTCAAGACAAGGAGTAAATGGCCACATAAGGGAACTTGAAGAGCAACGAGGATAAAGCTCAAAAGGAGGAGGCTAGAGGGGTAGACAGGAGCTTAACCTCACGGGGCCTTGGGGACCAGGTTTCCACAGCTGGTAGAAGAAGTGATCAAATCATACATGCTGCCAGGTCCCTCTAGCTCTAGCTTTCTCAAATTATCTGGGCTGGGAACTGGAAATAAAGACAGGACCAGACACCCCTGCCATGTTGCCAACTGCCAGCTATAGACTTGCGGCTTACCAAACATGTGGGTCTTCAGAGGTTTGTTGTGTAGGATCTCCAGATGCTGCCAGATCCACTTGTAGTAGGAAGGGGACTTTCCAAGGTCTATCAGCCGCAGGACTTCACAGCTGCCCTGACATGTCAAGCGACACAAGAAGTTTAATCCCAGAGGCTCCAGGGGTCTAGACTTTGAAGGTAAATTCTCTTTAATACATCTTCCACCATTTTGTTTTACTTGCATAAGGATCTTTTTTTTTTCCATTGTCAAAATGTCATCTGCCCATTATAAAAAATTCAAATAGCTAAAGAAAGCCAAAACTCAAAAATCAAACCTGTTGCCATTGAGTCAATTCTGACTCATAGTCGACCCTATAGGTGAACCACCAGCCTTTCTGGTTAGTAGCCAAGCACTTAACCACTGCACCACCAGAGCTTCTTGCTAAAGAAACATGAGAACGAAATACAAGGCTATCACTGGGAAAAAAAACAAACAAACCCACCATTGAGGACATTATTGGGACAATGGATAAAATTAGATTTTGGACTATAGATTATATATTGTATTGATGTTAAATTCCCTGATTTTGATAATTATTCTGTGGTTAATTTCTATCTTAGAAAATAATTACTTAAATATATAGGGGTAAAGGGGTATAATGGATGCCACTTAGTCTCAAATGATTCAAGCAGGGAAAAATACATCTATTAAAGCAAATGTGGCAAAACGTTAATAATTGGTGAATCAGGGTGACATTTATACAGGAGTTCTTTGTATTATTTTTGCAACTTTTCTATGTTTGAAATTTTCCAAAATTAAAAGCTAAAAAATATTCAAACCAAATAGAAGAAATAAAGAAAGTCAAAACTATGTTAATCCTAATACCCCAAAATAACTAGCAGTAACATGGGGTGAGTATTACTTTAAACTCTTCTCTATAAACATACAAAATGTATATATATATAATTTTTCATAAATGATTCCATTTATATAAAACAAACTCTTGTAAACTTTTTTTTTTAAACTCAATAATATATCAAGGACATCTTTTCATGCAAATAATATAGCTCTATTTAATTGTTTTTAATAATTGCATGGTATTCTCTGCCATAATTTATTATCTAGAATTAAAAATAAATATTCACTTGATTAAAAGAAGTCAGACACAAGGAGCACATACTTTATGATTCATTTTATATGAAGTTCAGGACCAGGCAAAAGTAGTCAGTGATAGAAGTCAGAACAGTGATTACCTTTGAGTGTGGGGGTGGTAAATTTTGTTTGGGAAGGGGCACAAGGGAGCCTTCTGGGGCGCTGGAAATATTTTTATCTTGATTTGGATGATGGTTACACAGGTGTATATAAATGTCAAAATTCATCAAGCTGTAAAATTTAGATTTGAGTTCTTTACTGCTGTTTCTAATTTGTCAGTATTAGAATAACTCTGATTTTGTTAGGACAACAAAGTTCCTACTCAAAAAAAAACTCACCACCTTCCCAGACTCTCCTGCAGTGGAGTGGCAGGGATCCAGCGCTGTCCAATGAGACAAAAGTGGAAGATTGCTTGATAAAACTCCCACGGAAGCTATTGCTGTCCTCCCTTCCCTCTGCCTGAAACTCAGCCGTGATGGTTGGAGGTAGAACAGCCATATTGCAACCATTAGAATGAATGCCATAAGCTATGGATGATGAGGGAAGAAGCTAGAAGGGGCCTGGGTTCTTGATGACTTCCTAGGTTTTTCTAGCCCTGGGCTGCTCAATTCCAGACTCTTCATTGCATGAGAAAAGAAGTCACTTAGGAGCCCTGGTGGTGCAGTGGTTAAACATTAGGCTGCTAACCAAAAGGTCAGTGGTTCAAATCCACCAGCAGCTCCTTGGAAGCCTTATGGGGCAGTTCCACCCTGTGCTGTAGGGTTGCTATGAGTTGGAATCGACTGGATGGCAATGGCTTTTTTTTTTTTTTTTTTTAACTCATTAAGCCTCTGCACTTGCTTTTCTGTCACCTGCAATATACAGCAATTCTAACTAATGTTCTTGTACATACATCCAAGTGCTAATAGTTCACAAATATTCAAGTTCTTCTCCTAGGCACATGGCAGGATTGTACTTCTCCACCCTTTAAATTAGGCATGGCCTTTGAACTTGCTTCAGCCAATGAAATATTAGCAAAGTGACTTGCAACACTCTGGACGGAATCTTTAAAAGCCAGTGTTTGCTTTTCCACCTTCCACTCCCCCTCCCCTCCCCTCCTCTCCTGATCATGGAAGCATGGGGCAAGATACAGTTTCTAGTGGCCTTGGTCTCTGAGTGACCATAAGGAGCGAGGCCCCTCTGCTCACGTGCTATGATCAAATAGTGTGAGATCTGAGGATTGTTTACAATTGCAGCATAACCTAGTTTACCCTAACATATACCCATGTTTGATTATCCCTTTGGGATTAATTCCTAGAAGTATACATGTTTTAAATTTTTATACACATTGCCAAACTACCCTCCAGAAATGTTATATCAATTTACACTCTGCAACAGTGTATACCAGAGCCTGTTGTAATACTTCGTTGCCAACACTGGGTTTTCACAATCCTTTCAATCTTTGCTAATGTGATGGGCAAGAAAGATATATCATTTTTTCCTTTTGATTTCATATCTTTATAACATCTTACCCTTTTTTAAGAGGAAGCACTAAAGACACATTATAAAAGGTTAGAGTTCAAGACAGATTACTGTTGAAGAGGAAGGAGAAGAAGGGAAAAGGGAAGAGAATGAACATTTAATAAGCTCTTACCATGTGCGTGGAGCTTTATTCAACATTCACTCAACAAACATTTATTTATCTACTAGGAACTGTGGCAGGCACTGGAGAAACACAGGCAAACACAGTTTCGTCCTGGAAAGTCTTTCATGTGTCTTTAATTGTATCTACATCTATGGAGAAAACAGTTTTACCATGTGCCCCCAAATGATAAACTACTGATTATGGACACTAATTATTTATGTTTGTGATGCCAGCAGGAAATCATGTTTTCCAACTTTTGGTCCTAAGGACACCCCAAAGGAGCCCTGGTGGTGCAGTGGTTAAGTGTTCAGCGGCTAACCGAAAAGCTGGCGGTTTAAACCCATCAGCCACTCCACGGGAGAAAGATGTAGCAGTCTGGGCCAGTAAAGATTACAGCCATGAAAACCCTATGGGGCAGTTCTACTCCATCCTACAGGGTCGCTATGAGTCAGAATCTACACCATGGTAGTGTGTTTTGGTGTTTGGGATGGACGCCCCACCTGCTTCTAATTTCGCCCTCTAGTGTTAATATGCGTAAACTACAGAAGTCAGGACAGACGGGCCTCACTACCAGAGGAGGACAGCTCAAAGGCTCTAGCCAAGCAGGAAATAAAAATGAGGAAAAAGAGAGCAGTCCCTTTAGAGAGAGCAGGCGCTCCTAAGCTCCAGCCAGAGGGGACCACATCAGAATGCAACCTGGTGTTGCCTGATCTTCTGAATTTTCAAAAGAAGCCAAAAGTCTGAATTTGTATGTAAAAATCTTCATATTAACTATCAAATCAGAAACAAACCAAACCCATCTAAGGCTGGCTGAGGCCCATTACCAGCTGTCACTTTGTGACCTCTGTATCGTTTTTTTCTCAGAATGAAGTCCAAGTACTTCTGCATTAGAATCACCAGGGACACTTATTCAAATGCAGACTTCAGAGCGAAGGAATCTGTCTGTGGTGTGAACCTCATAGCTGCCTTTTTTAAGAAGCACCCTAGGTGTTTTTTACACTTTCCAGTTTGAAGACTCCTCCCTTGATCAAGGGTTCTCCAGCAATTTAGTGCACATCAGAGCCACCTCGGGGGCTTGTTAAAACAGATTATTGAGACTCACTCCCAGAGTTTTAGATTTAATAGGGCACGGTGGGCCTCATAATTTGCATTTTTAACAAGTTGGCCAGGTGATACTGATACAGAAAATTTTATAGTGTGATCATATCACTTCCACAATTTAAAGGTTATTCTTTTTAAAAAAGTGATCTGGCACCAATAAGATTGAAGAGCCAAATGCACAATTTCAATCTGCATCTGTATGTAAATAAACATGTATATGAGCTCCTGGAGACGGTATCCCTTGGCGATCTTTCTAATACAATAGCTACATATCTTAAAGTTCACAGCAACCCTCTGAAGGAGGCAGGCCAAAGTGTGTCATTTGTGCTTTATACTGTTAAAAAAATCGAAACTCAAAGAAAAATATTCTAAGCAGTTATTCTATATGCATATAGTGAGACCATTTTGATTCCAGAAAAAGCAATTGGCTGGAAGTCAATCAGATACAATGAGACTTATAAATCAAAGAAGAGGGAGAAGAATAGAAGATCAACCATTGGCCATTCTCAACATGATTGAACCCTGCCTACCCCCTTTTACTGAGATCAACTGATATCAGGTCACAAGGTAATCTCAGGCCCTCCATCCACCTTCAGCCAGTTCAAATTTTGTAAGCTTGGCTTCTAACTGGAAAGAAAAGATTAGCAACTCTGGGTGAAAGAAAAGCCACAGGCAAAATTAATTTTGGTTTGCACTTTCTTTACAGTGAACATTTGGTTTCGTAGGTAAGAAAACTTTAAAATCAAAATAAGGTGTCTGTTATTAATTTTTCTGTTTGACAACACCTAGGACATGGAAGCTCAGAGAGGGAAGTGAATTGCTCGAGTTGCAGAACAGGGCTTGACCCCATCTGTCTGGCCACAGGACATCATATTAAGCTCGGTCTCCCCAGTTTCACTCCCTCCTCACCAGACCTCTTACCTTGCAGATAAACATAATGGCGGCAGACTCTACAAAGTCTTTTGAAATCAGCTGGCCAAATGAGAACTTCTCCACCTTCCCCATGGTGACCAGCTGCCAAAGCTTCTCTTTGGACCAGGACTGAAACAGATCCATCTTCCTGAGATGGAAAAGCCTGTTAGATTCATTACCTTACATCATCAATTGACACTACTGCCTCTTTTACTCTTAAAAATGCCTGGCTGAAAGATTTCACACACCCTCTCCCATTGCCTAGCCTGTAGCCAGTTTCCTGTCATGTAAGCACCTTTGCTCCTTCTATCTACTCTTTTTCTCAAGGTCCTCCCCTCCAGCTCCACCCCCCTCTTTGCTGCTCCTCAAATACAACTGACATGATCCAGCCTCTGTGCTTTTCTCACCTCTGCTCCATCCCATCCCTCCTTGCACCTTGTGGCTCACTAAACTAATCCCATTCCAAGGAAAGGCCCAGCAGTTCCTCACTTCTGCTCACCGCTGTATTCTGTCCCCCAGCTTGCGGTCCTGGCCCTACCTTTGGTTTGGGTAGCTCTTTCTAATGCCTGCCTCCCTTTGGCCTATTGACGTCAAATACTCAGCTCGGGACCCAGGGGGCAGGAGATCCAGATTCTCCTCCTTTTGCCTGTTTGCTCCCTGTAGCTGAAGACCCACTCCGTGGTGACTGCCCCTTCCTCTGACCCTTGTACACCACCACTTATGGCTTTGCTTCCCTCACAAGCAGCTCCAACAGATTGTGAGCTCAAAATTTAGGGTGACTCCTGAGTTAAGTTCAGGGCACCAAAGGGGCATGCCACGTCCAGAGGAGGAGAAGGGTCTGGAGTTGTAGGAAGGAAAGTAGGACCACCACAGAAGGAGTGCCCACTATGTGCCAAGTACTGGGCCACATGCTTCCCCTGATCATCTCATTCGATCTTACTATGACCTTGGAAGATAGGTATCATTATCCCCATTTTACTGAGCAGGAGACCGAGGCTCAGAGAAATGAAATGATCTATCTCAGGTCACATTGTTGATAAGCCTGACAGCTGAACCCAGGCCGATTTTTCCACTGTACGAAAAATGAACTGCTCCTCCTTTTGGACGAAGTGCTCCCCTTCCTTTTCCAGGCTCCATCTCCTTTATGAAGCTTTCTCTCTGAGCTGTAACCCACAGGGACCAGATGCCTCTGCCCATCACACTTCTCTCATTGTCTACGTCTGTACAATTCTACATCTGTGTTTTCAGTGCCAGTGCAGATACTTCATTTGACTTTTACTCTTTTTTATTAAGGTGAGTAACTAAAGAATAATTAAAAGAGATTCAGTATCTACACGCTTATATGGCCTTTCATGTAAGCACTCCGAGCCAAATAAAAGAAAAAAAAATCTTTTGATCTAAATGAATTCTGCTTTTTGGTTCATTAGAGTATTAGCTACACCCATAATTAAGATGCTTACTTTTCTGACCCACAATGGTTGCAGTTATTTATATCCTGTTATTCATTTATTCACTATGTATTTCTTGAACACCTACATGGTTCTGGCACTGTGAAAACGGGGATTACAACGGTGAAAAAGACAGATTTGTTACCATATTGCTTACTACCTGATGGGGCAAAGAAACAGTAAGGAAATGATTATATAATCAAGAATTACAGTTTGTTGAACATGATGAACATGTCACTGAATTGTACGCGTGAAGATTGTTAAAATGGTGACTGTTCTGTTAGATATATATTTACCAAAAAAAAATTAGTTTGAGTGGGGGCTATAAAGAAACACAGGGTGCTATGGAAGCATATGATGGGATACCCTTTCTGTTCTGGAGTGGGTTTGGTTAGTAAAGTAGGGTGGTGAGGCCCAGGGACTTCTGAATCAGATATTTTGGGCACAAGTCCTGGCTTCAGCATCCTGAGCCTTGGCTCCTTCATCTATACACTGGGAAACATAAGAGAAATAACCTCATGTAATTCAATGTGAGATTAGATTAGATGAGCCAAGTCGTACAAAAGTGCTTAGCACCCTGCCTCGCCCAGCAAGTACTCAATAAATGTTAGCTCTTCTTTTTATCCCACAAGGAAGTGATATTTGAGCTGAGATCTGGAGGGATAGTAGGAGTCTGTTAGACAGAGAAGGTAGGGGGTGGGTATGGAAGAGTATTTCAGGTAAAACAGCACCTAGTATGTTACCCACCAAGCATAGGACAAAGTCAAGCACTTAATAAACACACAGGGGGATTTAAAAAAAGATGCTGACCAATGATGGAGTTACCTAAAAAATTCAAACCGATACTGAGCATCCCTTTCAACTTCCAGGTCCAGCTTATTAGCAAAGAAATCCTCCTTGTCGACAACCAAGAACTCTGTTTCTTCCATACAGACCACAGTGGCCCTCCTTACTGAAGAACTCAGAAGGGCCATTTCCTGTTGGATGAATAAGGGCAAGGGCAAGTGAGAGGCCACATCCAGCTTCCTGCTCAAAGCCTAGCACACCTCTTCCCTGCTTCCATCTCCCCTGAGGTCTCTCCTCCTCCGACTGCAAGTGCCCTAGCCCATTCTGGGCTCCTGTGGGCCCATTCCCCTCTCTCTTAATATGCAGCTTGTGCGAAGGAGGCAAGATGCCTCAATGAGTCAGAGGAAAGGAAGCCAGAGAGGCCTCACTGTGGAGTCAATGCATCTCTCAGGGGCTATGTTGTTGTTATTGTGTCAAGTCAATTCCAACTCATAGCAACCAAATGTGACAGAGTAGAACTGCCCCCATAGGGTTTCCCAGGCTGTAATCTTTATGGAAGCAGATTTCCAGGTCTGTCTTCTGTGGAGCCACTGGGTGGGTTTGAACCACCAACCTTTTGGTTAGCAGCCAAGCACTTAACCACTGTGCCACCAGGGCTCCTTCTAAGGGGTTATAGAGGGAACATAATCCTTAAACATCACAGATGAAGAGGTCAGCCTTGGATATCCCCTGGTTCAACTTCACTGGCGTTTGATATAAGGGCTCTGGGGCTCACAATGGGGCAGTGATTTGCAGAGTGTAAGGCAGGATAGGGCCTAGCCAGGAGCTGCTGGCAGGAGTCCTGTCACACTTCCAACCCCACCCCAGGAAGCTGAGCCCTTCCCCCTGTGTTTACCCCAAAAGAGCAGCCCTTTTGCAGCAAAGTCGGGTGGGGGTCCAGGAAGGCGCTACTGCCATCCTCATCCTCAGTCACTGCGACCTTGCCCAGGTAGATAAAATAAAAGCTGTTGCCCCTCTGGCCCCTCTTGACGATCACACGTCTACGACCAAATCTGGAAAAAGGCCATGCATTAGACCTTCATTCCTTTTTACAGTGAATATTATTCCATTGTGCATATATACCACATTTTGTTTATCCATTCATCTCTTTATGGACACCTGGGTTGTTTCTACCTTTTGGCTCAAATAAACTGATTTTTGTAGAAGAAACAGAGAAAGTTGTTGAAGAGCTCTCCCACCACCAAAAAAGTACTAGGCCAGTTGATCAGTAGTAACACAGAGGTTGGTCCATGCTAGGAAGAGATCTGGACTGGTTATGCTTTTTGCTCTGGGGTACAAAAGCACAGACTTATACTAGAAGGGACCTCAGAAGAGCTCACACCCAGCCCCATCAAGCTTGACCCCTTCACTAACACCCACCCAATCGCCCACCGCTGTTAGAATTAAGCTTCCTGAGGACAGAGACTTTGTCAGTTTGGTTCACTGCTCTGTGTACTCAGGCACATAACAAATGCTCAATGAACATTTGCTGAATAAATGAATGAACAAATGTTGAAAGCAATGTAGGAGTTAGTAGACTAGCTAATGACTAAGAGCACTAACTTCAGAGTCAGACCAGGGTCCAAATCCTGGTTCTGCCCTATGCTATGTGACACTGGGCAACTCAGCCCCTCTCTGAGCCTCGGTTTCTTTGTGAAATGCAGATAAGCATACCTAGAAAGCGGTAGATAAATGGTCTTATGATCCCCAGTAGCTCACTACTCAATTGGGCACCCTTAGGGTAGAGGTGCCCAGGCCCAGACCAAACTGAGATTTAGTTCTTAGGCTCAGAGGGAAGTTTCAGAATTGCAAATGCAAGTTCAAATCTCATGTGTTACAATATTCATTCATTTCCTTCATTCATCTAATAAAATAAGCACTGTGGTGGTTAAGGTTGTGTGTCAACTTGGCTGGGCCATGATTCTCAGTGGTTTGGCAGTTATAATGTAGTTTGGCAGTCACTTGATGTTGTGATTACTTCCATGATGAGATTGGATATAATGTGATCACCTCCATGATGGGATCTGCTCTGAGTAGCCAATCAGTTGAAAGGAAGTTTCCTTGGGTGAATGGCCTGCATTGAATATAAGTGGACATTCTGGCAAGGCTCATGGGCTTTCGCTCTCTCTGGATCCTGCAGCTGGCTCCTGTTCGTCTGATCTCTGGCTCTTGGGACTTGAGCTAGCAGCTTACCTGCAGTCTTACCTGCCAATCTTGGGATTCGTCCATCTTTGCAGCCTGTGAGCCAGAGCCCTGCTCTTCAACTTGCCGATCTTGGGTTTGCCAGCCCACGTGGCTATGTGAATCAGTAGAAGCCTCTATCCTGATCCATGGACTTGGGATGCTCCAGCCTCTACAACTGCGTGAGCCATTTCCTTGCTATAAATCTCTCCCTATATATATATTTATACACTTTACTGGTTTTGCTTCTCTAGAGAACCCAGCCTAAGACATTTGGTACCAGGAGTGAAGCGCTGCTCTAACAGATACCTAAAATGTGGAAGCGGTTTTGAAACTACGAATGGGTAGAGACTGGAAGAGTTTTAAAGTGCCTAATAATAAAAGCCTAGATTGCCTTGAAGAGGCTGTTGGTGTAATCATGGACATCAAAGACAACTCTGGTGAGGACTCAGAAGGAAGGAGAGCTGTTACAGTGGAGATGGCGCAGATAGCGATAAGCAGCAGCAGAGAAACAGCAGCAGCAGAGAACTGGCGGCAGCAGAACTAGGAGACCAGTGAGAGACAGCGCTGGAGCCAATCCACAGAGTGAGAGCCGAGTGCCTTTGCGCAGGAGGCTTCCTGGCAGAGTAGGGTGCCTCCAGGCAATTATCGGTAGAGCTAAAGAGCTTTGGAACACTTGCCCTCAACTACCGACCTTTTGGTTAGCCAAGTGCTTAACCATTGTGCCACCCGGGCTCTTTCCCAAACCTCTACCAACCACTAAACCTGCTGCCGTGGAGTCAATTCCAACTCACATAGACCCTACTGGACAGAGCAGAACTGCCCCATAGGGTTTCCAAGGCTGTAATCTTTATAGGAGCAGACTGCCGCGTCTTTCTCTCACAGAGTGGCTGGTGGGTTTGAATTACTGACCTTTCAGTTAGCAGCCAAGCGCTTAACCACTGTGCCACCAGGGTTCCTTACAGTGACCTTATATTCTGGATTTTCAAGACAGATTTTACCTCAAATATTCTGGTAGGCTGTTCCCCTTAAGCCACTGAAATGTCCTAAAAATGGCAGTATTTCAATATGCAACTCTCAGACTTTCTCTACTCCAGGGTATATAACACTTTTTTCGTCACGGACCCTTTAACAATCTGGTGAAGCCTTCATAGAAGAATGTGTTTTAAATGCATAAAAGAAAATATAGCAGAATTACAGTTATCAAATGTTTTTAAAAGACAGAATTTGTGATACAGTAATATATGTGCTTCTTTATTAAAGCACTGAATAACAAGATCTAGCAGCAGATCTATTAACTACCATAATTTTGAAGATGTGATGAACACAAATTATTTTTCCAGATATCTGCAACAACTTGAAATTGACATGAAAATATCTGTGATTTCTTTAGATGAAAAGTTCATAGGCATGGCTAATACTGCAGTGGTCCATTGTCTACATTCATGATTGTACAAAATGCTAAATTTCAGTTAGAGATTAAAAAAAAATAGAGTTGCAACTTTTTTTCTCTCATTCAAGTTCACAGACCCCGCTCTAGCACCTACCTGGATGTAGCACAATCACCTGTGACCCATTCTGGCTTTTAGGAAAATATGCCCTCACCTTGGTATTCATCACATGGCCTAACATGATACTGTGGGTCCTGGAAGATCTGGATTTGAGTCTTAGCTCTGCTACTTATATCTAGATGACCTCGCATAAGTCATTTTTATCCTCTGAGCCTCAGTTTCCTCATCTGAAAATAAAGGCACTGGATCAGATCCTTTCTGAGATTCCCACGAGATCATAGGCAGACTCAATGAGTAACTCTAGGAAGATTCTCAATAAATGAATGAGATAAACTGAGCTACAATCATAACAGTGAACATTAAGGTGAACCAACAGAGGATCTTTTACAGCTGATACTGCATGGAGGGGCTGCAGGACCTGGCACGGCTTCTCAGCTGGGCTCTTTCTGCCCAGCCAAGCCCCAGCCTGGGGGCCAAGAGGTGTGCCTCGCACTGACCGTTCAAAGCGCATAACTTTGGCCAGGAGCAGCTGCAGGGTGTCACTGTAGTTCCTGAAGCTATCCAGAGCCTGCAAGACGTTACACAGGTCTTGGATCTCATCCTCTTTTCTCCAAGCAGGCTTCTTCTGTGTGATCTCAATGGCCCTTGGAGGAAAGTGACCCTGGGGAGAGAGCCAGAGAGACATATGGGACACAGCAGGCAACTCCCACACTCCCGCTTTTATGCTTTCCCATTCCCCATGCAGTAGCGGCTGACATGTAACGAGCGCTCCCTGCGTGCCAGGCATAAGCATTTAACATGTACCATCTCACAGCATCCTCACACAGCCTAGGAATCCAAGCACTATTACCATTCCCATTTGACTCATGAAGAAACTCAGACAGGATTATAACTTAGAGCTGCCAAATCCCAATGCCCATATCCCCAACCACTAGGTCCCAATGCCTCTGCTGTCTAGTAAACCTCCCAGGCAATACACAGCTGCTCCCTGGGCTCCAGCAACCCTCCAGGTTCCTTGACACAGGCACACTGCAGTCAGGGGAGACATTTTTCCTTGCCTCAGCCTATACCTTGACATGTTACAGGAGACTAAGAAACAAAGAGAACCTGCCAAAGACTTCCAGCAAAATTTTTTCTTCCCTAGTGAACCAGGACGCGTGAACTAGTTAACTGGCAAAACTACTCTTTCACTCACCACTCCCACTGGCTGGGGAATATAGCACTGTGAATTTTTAACACCCTTCCTCCCTACTGAGTTCCCATTGTACTTAGGATAAAACCCTAACTCCTTACCACAGCCATGAGGCACATTGTGGTCTGACTCTTTACCACCCTACCTACTCCTCCAACCTCATCTCCTACCTGTCCCCTTCATTGTCTATTCTCTTTCTTCCTATCCTTTACGTGTGCCAACCCTGGTTCTGTCTTGTGGTCTTTGCTTAGACTGTTTCCCCTGCCTGGGATATTCCTCCGCTGGATTTTCACGTGGCTGCCTCTTCTTCATCATTCTGGTCTCAGCTCATATACTGCCACCTCCTCAGTGAGGCCCTCCAGGATTACCTGAGTGAAAGTAGCAGGCTCCCCTCCCCACACTCTATAGGCATGTGTCATTTTCTTCAGAGCATTTAATACTTTCTGAAATAATCATTCATTTATCTTACTGTGTATATTATCTGTCATTTCCCTACCCTACACATAAACTGCACTGTTTAGTATGGTAGTCACTAGTAACATGTGGCCATTTAATTTAATTAAATACAAAATTAAGTTGCTCAGTTGCACTGACTACATTAAATGCCCACATGAGTCTGGTGGCTACTGTACTGGACAATGCAGATTACAGAACATTTCTATTATTGTAGAAAGTTCTATTGAATGAAGGTGCTCTATATAAACCCCAATATAAACACGATGAAGGAGCCCTGGTGGTGCAGTGTTTAAAGCACTTAGCCGCTAACTGAAAGGTTGTCAGTTTGAACCCACCAGCCGCTCCAAGGGAGAAAGATGTGACAACCTGTTTCTGCAAAGATTTACAGCTTTGGAAATGCTACCTATGGGGCAGTTCTACTCTGTCCTATAGGGTGGCTGTGAGTCGGGATCTACTCCATGGCAGTGGGTTTGGAGTTTTTTATAAACACAATAATGGCCCTGTCTACCTTCTTTACCACTCTAGAATAGTGCAGCACTCAATAAAGTAAACATTTATGGAAAGAATGAATGAATGCTGATAGTCTTACATAACAGTAATTATCACAGAAGCAAAATGGAACTGGGGCATGATGAAGCATTCTGGACATCAGGAAAACAGATGAGAAGTCTCACCTATTCACTCAGAAAGGCCACATAGCTTAGTGATCAAAAGCGCATGGAGAAAAAAAAAAGCACCTGGGCTCTGGTGCCAGATATTGGGCCTGGACCTCAGCACTGCTACTTCCTAGCTGTGTGTCCTGGGCAAGTCACTTATCCCTGAGTCTGTTTCCCTATCTGATAACAGCAGAACATCTGACTCATAGAGGCCTCATGTGACTGAGTAGAACTGCCCCATAGGGTTTTCTTGGCTGTAATCTTTATGGAAGCAGATCACCAGGTGTTTCTCCTACAAAGAGGGTGGGTTGGTTCTAACCACCAACCTTTCAGTTAGCAGCGAATCGTTTAACTGTTGTACCACCAGGGAACAGCAGAGTTGATATGTGTAAAGGGGTTACAACAGTGCCTGGCACAGAGCAAGCGCTATGGAAGTGTTAGCCATTTTTATTGTCTGAGTTAGGTTCAATCTTTCTACTTTCCAATTCTCTCTTGCTGTCAATAACTGGTTGGGGTTTCTGCCACAGGGTTCACTTATGACAAAACACAAATGCCTGTGGCCTCTATAAGCCAAAGTGATCCATCAGGCCCATCTGGGGCCCTAATTCCTCCAGGAAATTTCTCTCTCCATCCCAACTTAGAGACACTTCTCTGGATTCCTATAGAACTGACTGTTATTTAACTTTCTGGGTAAATTTCATTACCTCACTTCTTAATTAACTCCTTAAGGGCAAGGTGAGGATATTACACAACCTAGCATTCCCCACAAACTGATGCAGAGCTAGGCCAACCAGAGAAGATCAAAAAATGCCTGGGGGTGGGTAAAAGGGAATACAATTCAAACAGGGCCCCAGGAGACTTCCCTGACTGCTTCACAAACACCATTTCTCCTGGTTCTCCCCTTCTCTCACTACGGGACAGCCACACTCTTCTGTGTTCCTCCAGCACACAGGAAAGGATAAAAATAAAAATGACTGTCGATAATCCCACTGCCCAGAATTAGCCATTAACATCTGGCATAATTGTTTCCTGGCTTTTTCTGTGTATACTAACTTTTTTTTTTTTTTTTAATATGTTGAATAGGAACCTAAACTGGTGTGTAAAACTTCACCAAAAACACAATAAAATATTATTTAAAATAT